CGATTGGCCGTACTATGAGTGAGTCTTCGACTGTGCTACCTGCCCGACAGAGTGTGAAGCTAACGGTCGTGAATTGACCATGGCTTCACACTCTGTCATAAGTGTGACGAAGCCTGTGTCAGGGCACAATTTGCGAGTTATCACGTTAATTTCATAATGCTTATGAGGCGTTCATAGAATATGCTTTTCCATGGAGAAAGAGGAGTAATGAATTTCCATTGGATCGCCTCTTTTGTTAAAAATGTTAGTAGAATATGGTCGTGAAGGGATATCAAGTTCGTGGTCTATCGTAGTGATGATGTCATTACCGAGTTTAAAATCGTTGCGTTGTCGGATATTATGAGTTGTGGTTTTCCTCGACGGGAAATAAAGCGTCGTAACGCATTTACTATTTGCAAAGCGCTCAAATTATTAACGACTTCTAAATGTACCGCACGAGTGGTCATGCAAGTAGCGAGGAAAATCCACCGTTTTTCTCTTTCTTTGTTGGAGTCGAGGACCGGAAAGGGACCTGCAAGGTCGATGCCAATATGAGAAAAGGGTCGTGTTGGCTGTGTTCTCGCAGTTGGTAGTGGTGGTGAAGCAGGGTAGTAGTAAGGTTTTCCGTTCCATCGTTTGCAAGTGAAACATCTCCGTAGGCACCTTCGTACTACTTGTCTGCCTTGTGGTATCTACCACATCGCGAGTGGATACCTTGTACGAGTAGTATTGTCAAGTGAGAGTTCCGGTAAAGCGAGATAGGTTCTAAGTACATCTCGTGCTAAGTGGCTGGCTTTGATGCGTCCCTGGCATCGTATGATCCCGTCTTCATCTTGGAACAGTCCTAAGTTGTCCCATTTACGTTGGTCTTGTTTCGTTAAATTCCGCTGCATAAGTCTTATTATGACGCGTTCAGCGGTTTGAAGATCTCTCGTTTGTGGAAAGATGAGAGGTCTATGTGTTGAGATTTGTAATAGTTCTGGTAATTTTATAGCTAATTTGGCCTGGGTAAGTGAGGAGAGTTTGTCATAGATGTAGAGCTTTATAAACTTCATGACTAATGTGGTGACATTTCGTAGCGGACGTAAAGATGAGAATTTTACAAGGGACCGGAGGTTAGATGGTGATTCTGTAAGTGAGAGAGTTGATAGAATAGTCGCGTAGTCATCCATTGTTTGTTTGGATTCGTGGTTAAATATGGGATCCCAATGGAATTCAGATGAGTATGGCCATTGAGTCTGGTTTTGTTGTAAAAGGGTGGACCAGACCACCACAGTGGTTGGTTCATTTGTTCTTTAGTGAGTCCCTTTGTTGCATGATCTGCAGGGTTCATATCTGAGGGAATGTAGTGTAGATATGTTATAATATGTTGAGACCACGACGTCAATTTGTCACGAATTTCCTTACATCTGTTGTCTACAAACGTGCCATTTTTCGCGTTAGATTGTACCTAATGCAGTGCGACTTGGGAGTCGCTATATATCCGAATAGTGGAGATTTTGAGTCTGAGTTCTTGTAGGACAAAATTGGTGAGTCGAGTTCCTATAAGGAGAGCAAGTAGTTCTAGTCTTGGTATTGTAAGTGTTTTGGTATTGATTGGTGCCAATCTTTGGCGGGCCATTAAAAGGAAAGTAGTGATAGGTTCATGGGAATGTATGGAACGTAGATATACTGTCGCTGCATATGCTCTTGTGGAGGTGTCTGTGATGGAGCAAGGAAGGATTGCTGTAAATCCATGTGCTCGATCGCAAATATTTTTCCATTGTTGGTGGTGCGTCTCGGATAGCGGTTCGTCCCAAGGGTGGTGTTCTTTCCACAAGTCTTGTAAAAGAATTTTTGCAGGTAATAGTAAGGGAGTAAGGAAGCCTAAGGGATCAAACGTTGAATGAGTAGCTTGAAGTATTTTACGCTTTGTAGGTTCTGTAATGTAGGCTAATTTGCAAGAAATTGAGAGAGTGTCTGCAGTATGATTCCAGGCAATGCCTAGTATTTTTGTAGACGTATTAGTTGATTTGTCTTGCTGGTCAATAAGGTTATTGCAAGACTTCATCATTTAGTAATAAATTGTCGAAGGTTCATGGACATTTTAGCAAAGACCTTTTCGCAAAAACTGTAGGTACGTAAAAGGGATGGTGTAGAATTTCAAGCATCAGGACATTATCGACATAAAGGTTTTCAACAGTCGCTGTGTTACTGAATGGATCTTGATGTTTTTGCTGTTCAATTCCATATTGAATGGATATGGCGAGAAGGAATGGTGACGCATTAATGCCGAAGGGTAGACGACAAAAACGTAGTATACGAATATTACCGGGATGCGGAGGTAGGTAATTCCAAGTCGTGTAGCCATAGAAAGCGAACTGAGTCTCTTTCTGAATTTTGTAGGTAGATCATGTGAAATGCCTTTTCTACGTCAGCTATCATGATTTTCGTGTCGAGTCTCGCTCTTAGCAGTATTCCGCATAAGTTAGGTAAAATGAGTGGGCCTTGGTGAATAACGTCATTGAGGCTTATTTGTCCCTCATTTTTGACGAGGCATCGAGGACGATGCGAGTTTTAGTGGTAGCACTTGATGTCTTTATTACTGCTTGGTGTGGTATGTAATATAGGGGATTCTCGTGTGTTGGGATGCCGGGGGCATCCTCGATAAAGCCTTTACGAAGTTGGTCGTCAATTATGTCGCAGTAGTCTTTCCAACATTGTGGGTTTTTTGTCTTCATGTTACATAATTGATGTAATCGACTGAGGGCTAGATGGTAGTTATCAGCTAGGCAGTGTTTATTGTTTTTCCAGGGGAAGCGAACGTAAATTTTGCCCTCATGAAGTTGGACTGTGGAGTAGAAATCCTCGATTATGTGGCGATTGATTTCTTCGTTGGTATCAAGTTCATCGATTCCCACTCCTGGTAGTGTCCATAGGTGTGAATAGTCTATGCCTATTGGTTCATAGAATGAGTCAACTGTATAGACGTTCACTGTGTTAGTACAGAGCGTACGTGACGAAGTAGGCACCGAGATATTCCTTGATCTTCCGGAAATGACTGGGCCGAAGAATGTTGGTGTAATAAAAAGTCCAGACGGTAGCTGAAGTGATGGTCTCACTTGGTAATAAGAATGGTGTTGAAGTAATCAATGCCGAGAAGGATGTCCGGAATGACGCCTATTGTATCTGATAGCCAGAGTATTCGGAAGTCTGGATAATTATCTCGTAGGAATTGTTTGTCTTCTGG